CCGTCAACCTATCTTGCTTCCATCTTAGGTAAACACCTGTCTAATGGCAGTCTCAGTTTCCGTGCTGTGGCGGTGTTGATCAAGCTGTGGGTGGCTCCCCCGTCTATGAATATCTTAACTAAGTCTGCCCCTATCTTCCCACAAGCAGTGTGGGGCTGTCTACCGTAGTACCCTCCTTATTCGGCCGGGTGTGGTCGATTGCGTGAATCGGCACAATCACTCGGTGAGGGTCGGTTGGGTCGGGCGAGCGGCGTGACCTGTCAGTAGAGGGCCCGTCTGCTATTGACTCCCAGCGTTTCCTTGCTGCTTGGTCTGTTTCTGCTGCTCAGCTTCCCCCTTTCCTTTAGCGTTTTCCGGGCATTCGCTCTTACAGTGTCCCGGCCGATTGCACGCGAAGCAGCGCCCTTTAAACGGTGCGGCAACAACATTCGCGGCGACGACACGTATCGTAGCACCCTCGTTCGTCCCACGAGATCGATGTCCTCAGTTGCTGCTGCTTCCATAGGACCCCGGTCCCGGTCAGCGGAAGAAATCGAGTTTCTCCGCCATAGCAAGAATCTCTTGAAAATCAGTGCCGCCTCGGAGCTGAATTTCCTGAGCGATCTCGTGCTCAGGCCGCCGATGTAGCGGTCGATGCGCTCGCCCTCGTGCATGTATCCCACTTGCTCACACAACGCCAGAAACCCGTTGGTGTAATCCTGGACGAAACCGAGTTGGCGCCAAGTGCGGAGCTTCTGGCGCGCCGCGATCAAAGCCGCGATTGGCTCAAATCGAGCGCGCAGACCTGCGCACCACGCGTCCCACGTGCGACATTGGGGCACATCCACGAAATACAACGGCGCCCAAGGTCCGGTTTTTCATTCCCGTGTCGATAGAGTCGCGTAGTCGTTTGACTTCGTGACAATGACACACCACCAATCCATAGCGGACCCTCGCAGCAGCGACACGGCATAGCAGATTTTCGCCGTATCCTCCGAGACGTAGTTGGCGTAAAAAAACACGATCATCGTGAACAACCACGCCTGAACGGTAGAACCACCCCATTGACCCGGATCAAAGCATGGCGGATGGTGCGGCTTTGTTAAAATCTTAGCATAAGTGGTTGTTGAGATTTAAGGCGGGCCTAGGCTTAGTAGCCTAGGCCAAGAGGAAGACGAGGAGTTTGTGCCAAGGTGAGAGTGTCGAGAGAATTGGAAAAGTGAATGTTCATTATAGTGCTAGGGTACATATAGTAAACAGAGCATGCAAAGAAGGTGCACCACCAACAGTTTATAATAACTACACTAAACTACAGCTACAGGCAGTTACATATAAATTCTGACACTCCCCCATAACTGCCTGCAGCAGGAGTTTGTGTAGAACACAACCTGCAGGGGTACACAAGCAACAGCAACAACAGGTACGGTAACAGAGCAGGTACAGCAGCAAAGGGACAGGCGACAGCAAGAAATTTCTGCCACCCCCTTACTCTCTTCCCCCCCCAACCACAGGAGGGGCAGCAGGGAGAGTGAGGAGGCGGGCTGGCTCTGGCTGGTCACTGTTGAAATGAGCGAGAGTTAGGTAAGTTGTAACTAGGGCCTAGGCTTAGGAGCCTAGGCCCAACTTAGGATGTCGAGCGGGTTTCACCTAGGGGAGGAGATCGAGAAAGTTGGAAAGATGAAAAGTGATGTTCACTATAGGTTCAAGGAACATATAGTATAGAAAACAAAAGGGTGCACCACCTAACAAAGTTTGCAATAACTACACTAACTACAGCTACAGGCAGTTACAGATATAAATAATATAAAGTCTGACACTCCCCCATAACTGCCTGCAGCAGAAGTTTGTGCAGAACACAACTTGCAGGGGTACACAAGCAACACATTTAAGATAATAACCAAGCAACAGCAGGTACTGCAGGCGGGCAGACACTAACTGGTCACCCCCTTCATCACCTCACCCTCCTCCCTCCCCTCCCCCACACTGCTGCAGGAGCAGCAGAGAAAGGGGGGAGAGAGGAGAGGTGGAGGGACGGCTGCTGGTTGCCTCACACCCGCCACCCCGGTGCCAATCCCCCTTCTCCCCCACACCCTCACACCCTCCCCCCCAGCGGCAGCTGCAGCAGTGGGAACAAAAGGAGGAGGAGGGGAAGGGAAGGAAACGACCCAAAGCTCCAACACCCGCCACCCCCATACCCTCCCCCCCACGGCTGCAGGGAAACAATGGAGGAGGGGGGTGGGCGGGTAGTAAGCCATAGAGCGGCTACCATGTGTCGAGGCAGGGAGGTAAGGGGCGGCTGTAGTTTGAGCAGGTGCGGAAAGGCCCGTCGCTTGCCACGGGGCGCACGATGGGTAAGAGCACCGTCGCAGGCGCCAAAGGCGGGTCCGCGACGGCTTAGTGCACCGCCGCAGGCGCCAAAGGCGGGTCCGCGACGGTTTGAAGCACCACCACGGGCGCCAAAGGCGGGTCCGCGACGGCTAAGAGCGCCGTCGCAGGCGCCAGAGGCGGGTCCGCGACGGCTAAGAGCGCCGTCGCAGGCGCCAGAGGCGGGTCCGCAACGGCTAAGGGCGCCGTCGCAGGCGCCAAAGGCGGGTCCGCGACGGGTAGAAAGGAAAAACGTCACGCGCCCGAGGCGCGTGACCAGAAATCCAGCAGCGGAAACGTTGGGCGGGCCCACAGGCCAGGACGAAACTGCTCTGATAACCATGTTGAAATGAGCGAGAGTTAGGTAAGTTTTAACTAGGGCCTAGGCTTAGGAGCCTAGGCCCAACTTAGGATGTCGAGCGGGTTTCACCTAGGGGAGGAGATCGAGAAAGTTGGAAAAATGAAAAGTGATGTTCACTATAGGTTCAAGGAACATATAGTATAGAAAACAAAAGGGTGCACCACCTAACAAAGTTTGCAATAACTACACTAACTACAGCTACAGGCAGTTACAAATATAAATAATATAAAGTCTGACAGTCACCCCTTCCATCTCCTCACCCTCCCCCTCCCCCTCCCCCCCATACTGCTACAGGAGCAGGAGAGGGGGGAAGAGAGGAGAGGTGGAGGGACGGCTGCTGGTTGGTCTCACACCCGCCACCCCAGTGCCACTCCCCCGGCTCCCCCACACCCTCACACCCTCCCCCCCAGCAGCAGCTGCACCAGTGGGAACGAAAGGAGGAGGAGGGGAAGGGAAGCACACCACCCATCACCCCAACACCCGCCACCCCCATACCCTCCCCCCCATGGCTGCAGGGAGACGAAGGAGGAGGGGGTGGGCGGGGAGAAAGCCGCAGAGCGGCTACAGAGGGTCGGCGCAGGTAGGTCAGGGGCGGGGTGAGGCAGAGGCACCGCCGAGTGCGCCAGGGGCGGGTACTTGGCGGTTCAGGACACCGTCGCAGGCGCCAGGGGCGGTTCCGCGGTGGCTCAAAGGCACCGTCGCGCATGCCACGGGGCGCACGACGAGCAGGGCACCGTCGCGTGCCACGGGGCGCACGACGGGCAAGTTTAGGGCACAGTCGTGTGCCTCGGGGCGCACGACGAGCAGGGCACCATCGCGTGCCACGGGGCGCACGACGGGCAAGTTTAGGGCACCGTCGTGTGCCACGGGGCGCACGACGGGCAGGGCACCGTCGTGTGCCACGGGGCACGCGACGGACAGAGAAGATGTCACTCGCCACCCGGGGGCGGGACAGGACGAAAATCGCCACGCGCCCGAGGCGCGCGACCGGAAAAAAAGCAGCGGAAGCATAAGGCGGGCCCACAGGCCAGGACGAAACACGCTCTAATGCCATGTTTAAATCTTAGCATAAGTGGTTGTTGAGATTTAAGGCGGGCCTAGGCTTAGTAGCCTAGCTCAAGAGGAAGACGAGGAGCTTGTGCCAAGGTGAGAGTGTCGTGAGAATTGGAAAGTTGAATGTTCACTATAGTGCTAGGGTACATATAGTAAACAGAGCATGCAAAGAAGGTGCACCACCAACAGTTTATAATAACTACACTAAACTACAGGTACAGGCAGTTACATATAAATTCTGACAGGCTTCAGCGGCATCGGTGACGGCGTGCCGAATCTTTAGTCAGTGCCGAAATCGTGATGCAAGGCTGGTTCATGGCCACATTCATCGCTTCGGGGTGTGTCGTGCCGTGGTGGTCGTCTCCGTCGTGGCGGACGACGCCATCACTGGCCGCGCTCGCGGGTTGGCTAACATTTCCGTGCTGCGATGCTTGTGGTGCAGGCTATACCGGGGTGCCAGGTGCTTGTGATTGCGCCTGTTGTGCTCATGCGACGTCATTTTGCTGGGACGTACGTTCCGCCGTCAGCGCTGCGATTTCCTCGGAATTTTCGTGCAGTTGTCGCAACAGCTCGATCAAGCGGTCCTGCGTGAGCGTAGTGACGTGGATGTGTTCGGCCATTACGAAGGGCGTCGACTCAACTTAGTCTACGCGCAGTCGTGGCTGCACACGTTTACGAGAGAACGCGAGGACAGCGACTCCTAGGTGCTAAGGGGTGTGAATCCCTTCGAGTGAAAAATCAAAAGTTGATTACCTGGGGTGCGGAGATGCGCGGTCCGAAAGAAAGTGGTTCTGATAACCAAGTGTTACGGGTGCAATGGATCGAGGTAGCGAGGATTGCACTAAGGTGTCAAACGAGTACAAAATGTGAGCGAAAGCATGAGTGAACATTTATACGCGAAACATGCAAACGGTAACGCTGTGCGTGCGAACTAGCTAGTGCTAGGCTAACATCGAGGCTCGGGCTAGTCCCGAAGCGTAGGCTGACACGGCCGGGCCGGCGGTGCATGGTTTGGTGAAACAATGCACGCGAAGTCGACGAAGCCCTGTTAGCAGTAACGGGCGAACAACGGATGCTACTGTACGCGATGTTGCAGGTCGCGGTAAGGAGTGTCGAGAAAATTCCTTACATCCAATAAAAGATGCATGACGCATCTAGTTTACAAACGAATCTCAATTCAATGAGAATGCTGAAACATCGGTCAATTGACGGATTAAATATAACAAGGATGCAGGTGAAGCGCTCACTCGTGCTTCTTTGGCCGTTTCGACCATGTATGTTTCCTCGAAACCTCATCTTCTCTTTGTTCCTCCACCACCCGTACTGCTTGCTTCCCTTCGTCCCCAACACCTGACAGTACCAGGAAGAACAAAGAAGGGAAAAGGACAAACACCAGCCAGGCCAGTATACAGAGAACTCAAAATTGTCGTGCAGAGTGGACAGAGCAGGTGCTAAAACTTGCCGTGTCGCGCATTCTGAAGTGCCTTTTCTCAATCGATCCTGCAAGGGCATAAGCTTCAAAATGGCCTGCTGCTGAAAAAAAGATTAAGCCATTTCCAAAGCATGCTTCACGGGACATGTTAGAATCCTCAAAGCTGATAAGCCTCCTGGCACTCACAACACAACGCTCACCAGTCATATTAGCCGGCACGCAGCGGAGGAACAGGATCGGCAGCAGCGTGCAAACAGCCTGTATCGTGACGCCAAGTGTCAGGTTATCAAATGACGTGGCGGTGATTCCTAGCCGCGTGGCGAGAGTGGCGCCCATGTAGCCACTGAGGGTGTTGCCAAAGTTGTAGGCCGACATGAAGAGAGCAAAGAGCGTTCCCTCTATCCCCGGGGGGCACAGGCGGGCGGAGAGCACGAGGAATGGCATGAACCTGAATGGGAGGTGAAGGGACGGGGGGTTGGATGGGGCAAAGGAGGAGAGGGGGGGATTGAGGGGTGCAGAGAGAGAGCACGAGGAATGGCATGAACCTGGATGGGATTTGACGGGATGGAGGGAGGGGGGAAGAGGAAGAGGAACAGTGACAGCACGAGAAGGACAAAATGGCATGAAGTTGGATGGATAGTGAAGGGATGAAGGAAATAGCAGCCGAGTCCAGCAGGAGGACCTGTGTCGGAGATGCAGGGCCACTAGAGCAACCTTTGAGGCGCCTCAAAAGAAGACTTGTGTCGGAGATGCCACTCCAGCAACCCTTTCACCCCCTTCCCCCCTCGTATCTTATTTTATGTCTCCTGTGCTCAGGGCGAAATTGCATCAACAGAATTCAGCTTTACTCACTTGAACTGGTTGACTGCATCGGAAACAGCAGCAGAGCCCAGCAGGAAGACAGTATCAGGGATGCCACTCAACCCCCACCCTCACCTTGCTATGCACAACCACAACTTGCCTCAAATCGATTTCAACCCAACTCACTTGAACTGGTTGACTGCATCGGAAACAGCAGCAGAGCCCAGCAGGAAGACAGTATCAGGTATGCCGAGCCTCAAGTTGAGGCGAGAGGTGAGGAGGGTGTCGGCGATTGTGCACACGGCCATTGAAATGTGCACCCACCTGCCACAGGGGTTTAGGGTCGAGATATGGGGTTCAGGATTTTGCATGAGAGGGAAAGAGCCTCAGGTTGAAGCGAGAGGTAAGGAGGGTGTTGGCGATCGTGCAGACCGCCATTGAAATGTGCACCCACCTGCCACAAGGGGTTAGGGCCGAGATATGGGGTTCAGGATTTTGCATGAGAGGGAAAGAGCCTCAGGTTGAAGCGAGAGGTAAGGAGGGTGTTGGCGATCGTGCAGACCGCCATTGAAATGTGCACCCACCTGCGAAGGAATGTTTAAGGTTGCGCATTTGTTTGAATATCAGGGCTTGCAATTCCGGGTGTAGGGTTTATTTATGAAAGGGAAAGAGCCTCAGGTTGAGGTGAGAGATGAGGAGGGTGTCGGCAACCGTGCACGTATGGTCATTATAATGTGCACCCACTTACAAATGAAGTTACGATTCTGGTTTTCAGAGTTTAAGAAGCGTGGAGAAATGGGCCGTTGGGGTGTCTCGCTGTGCACTCACATGAAGATTCGTCGAATCGGGACGTATTTGAGCCTCGTGTTGTAGAGCAGAGTCCCGAGCATGAGGCCCGCCCAGCCAATGACCTTGGGGAGCGAGGAAGGGGATGTTGGAGCCATAAAGGAACAGGTGGGGAAAGGGGTGTGGGAAAAAGGAGGGGTGGCAGGCAGAGGATTGGGGGATGGAGGAGTGGGCGAGTGAGATTGTAGAGGTAGGCATAGTATCATAACCTGTAGCACTTTTCAAATTTCGGGAGTTCTCAAACACGTTATGAGTTTGGTTCAAGAGGCAGGAATATTCTCAGTTGAGCTTTGAGACGTTTCAATTCTTGTGCGTTGGTGCGTTTTGGTTTTTTTTTTTTTCGGTGGACAAATGGAAGGATCTGAGTGCTTGTTCATAAAACACCCTGGTGGAGCCAAGAAAGGAGGGGTCGAGGTGCAGATGGTTGGAATTCTGAGGCGCCCCATCTACTCAAAAAGTCAAAGCCCTATGTGTTTGATCAAAGTGTACCTTAGTGGAGCCAAGAAACGAGGGGTCGAGGTGCAGATGGTTGGTGTGGAAATAGAAGAGGGAAGACGTTAGGGTAGGCACGACAGCACATGACGTCATGAACCATGCCATAGGCCTGGGGAGGGAGGCGGGAGGGAGGAACAGCGGAGGAATGGCAGAGAGGGAAGGACAGAGGGGGAAGGGGAAGCGGAAATGTAAGGTTGGGGGTGCAGATGGTTGGTGTGGAAGTAGAAGAGGGATGAGGTGAGGGTGGGCGCGACTGCACAGGACGTCATGGACCATGCCATGGGCCTGGGGGAATGTGGGAGAGGGAAGCACAGTGGAGGCAGAGGGAAGACGGATGGGGTTGGAAATGGTTCGTAAGGAGGGATCGAGGTGCAGATGGTTGGTGTGGAAGCAGAAGAGGGAGGAGGTTAGGGTGGGGACTACTGCACACGATGTCATGAACCATGCCATGGGCTTGGGGGAATGCGGGAGAGGGAAGCACAGTGGAGGCAGAGGGAAGACGGATGGGGTTGGAAATGGTTTGTAAGGAGGTAGAGGTGCAGATGGTTGGTGTGGAAGTAGAAGAGGGAGGAGGTTAGGGTGGGCATGACAGCACATGACGTCATGAACCATGCCATAGGCCTGAAGCGTTGCAGGAAGAGGAGAGGTGAGGGGAGAGGACATGAGAGAGAGAGAAGATATATATGCACATATATACACAAACATATATGCAAATATGTACACAAACATATGCACATATATATGCACAAATATATACATATACTATATATGTGCACATGATAGAAACTTGCGGTCACCAAATGTGTCTGGAGACAAGACAGCACGCCACAAAGCCATTAGTGTATGGAGCTTTTGTGATGGTTTCAAAAATTCAAATTTGCTTCTTCAACTCGAATGTGCACTCACCAAACATTGCCCTCACCCAGAAAACATGCTCACCAGAAGATGTCCAGAGACATGACAGCATGCCACAGAGCCGCCAAAATGGAACCTTTCAGATGCATAGAGTCAACTTTTACCAGAAAATGAGCTCACCAGAAATTGCGCTCACCAGAAATTGCGCTCACCAGAACATGCACTCACCAGAAGATGTCTGGAGACATGACAGCATGCCACAGAGCCGTCACCAGATCAAGCACCTTCCTCCCCAACCCCCCTGCCGCCTTCCTTCTACTTCTCTCCTCACTTCTCCTCTTCCTCGCCTCCTCTGCTCCCTCCGCCCTTCCAGTCTCAGCTGCATTTCCCTTCCCTCCTTCCCCGTCACCCCCCTCTCTGCCTCTCCGTTGTCGCAGCCCTGTGCTCTGCTCTCCTGCCACACTCTTCTCGCCCCCACCCTCCTCTTTTCCTCCACCCACCTCGTCCCCCTCTTTTCCTTCTCCATCCTTCTTCCTCGCGCCTACAGCCTCTACAGACTTTTCATCAGCCTTTCCCCTTGAGGGTTCGAAAAGATCACTACCCATTTCCTTCCCTTTGCCCTCCACACTCTCCTCCTCCTGCTGCTCTGGTACCACCTGCTCTGGTACCACCTTCTCCCACTCCCCCAACTCGCCACTCTCCTCACTCTCGCTGCCACCACTCATGCGGTTACCATGTGAACTTGCACAACCATCTGTAACCACGGAATCAGCATCAGAGTCAATGATCGCATCAGAATTCCGTTCAGTTTGAACACAGGATGGTGCTGCTGCTGCTGTACCATTACTCACACTGTCTCTCTCTTTCTCATCCCCCTCACTTGCTCTTGCTCCCTTCCCACTCTCCCTCACGCCCTCTCCCTCCTCTCCCTCCCGTTCCTCCTCCTGCACGCCCTCCTCTTCTTCCTCCTCCTCGTCCCCCTCGTCCTCCTCCCCATTCCCCATCCCCCCTGTAAGCTTCCTCTCAGATGACATAAAACACATCGCGAGCTGCGATAGGGGGAAAAACGCGAAGAGTGCAAACATGCCGTGTGGCTGCAGCGTCTTTAGAGCTGGGCCCCCTAGGAGGCTTCCCACCACGCCGCCTGCTGCCATGGAGAACCAGGAGAGGGACTGTAGGTCGCCCGCATACCTCTCCCTGCACACCGGGATATCACATCACACAAGAGGGGGGGAATGAGCGATGAACAGACCAGCTGCAAAGGAGGCTGCCCACCACGCCTCCTGCTGCCATTGAGAACCATGAGAGGGACTGCAAGTCGCCCGTTTCCAGGGCTTAGGGTTTCTGAGTTCGGTTTTGAAGTAGGGCTTAGAGTACCGATTTGATAGTGTAGGATCGGATGTGTATTTCACAAAAAAAAACTCACTTTTCTCCTTTTGCCGCTTCTGCCACCATAGCATCGATGACCACGTCAGCCATGGCCGCCTCCAGGTTCCGCAGCACGAGCAGCAGCGTGAAGGGCGCAGGGGAGGCGGCTTGCAGCGCACCTAGAGAGTGCCGTTTCTCGGGCTTAGGGTTTCGGGTTCAAAGCAGGGTTCAGGGTTTTGTTTACCAGTATCTTTCATAGAAAGCACTCACTTGTCCCCTTTTGCCGCTTCTGCCACCATGGCATCTATCACCACGTCAGCCATGGCCGCCCCAACGTTCTGCAGCACGAGCAGCAGCGTGAAGGGCGCAGCGGAGGCGGCGAGACTTGGGACGAACGCGAGGGCGAGCCAGGAGAGCAGCGAGAGGGCGTTGGCGATGATTATGTAGGGAATGCGCCGTCCGCCCCTTATAGGCACACAGTCAGATACGATCCTGCGGAGGAGGGAGATACAAGGAGAGGAATGAGAGGGCGTTGGCGATAATGATGTAGGGGATGCGACGACCGCCCCTTATAGGCGCACAGTCAGTTAAGATCCTGGAGAATGGTGGGGAATGGATGGAGCAGGCACAGCACAAGGAGTGGGAAAGTGATGCCAAGAGAGCAGCGAGAGGGCGTTGGCAATGATGATGTAGGGGATGCACCGTTCGCCCCTTATAGGCACACAGCAAGATAAGATCCTGCAGAAGCGGGATAGGGGTCATGAGCTGTGCTGCTGAGTCAACTCAAGAGAGTTAACAAGCGTGGGGCCCTACACTCAGTTGGGGCTCACGTGGGCGTCACAAACCACAAACCCAGAAGGGGTTTAACACTCACTCACACAACCATGCAGGGCCGCCACTCACTACTAACCCATACAACGGCTTCACGCTCCACGGCATGTAGGCAGTGGAGGTCATGAGCTGTGCTGGTGAGTTGAATCAGGAGTCTTTGAGAAAGATTTCTCACACTCACCCACGTGGGGCCCTACACTCACCCATATAAGGGCTTCACGCTCCACGGCATGTAGGCAGTGGAGGTCATGAGCTGCGCTGCTGCTGGGCCCAGCTTCAGATGGTCCTTCACCAGAATGCTGATTCCCGTCCAGGGGAACGCGCGGAAGCCCTGAGAGGTGTGAATGATATGGGATGGATTGAAGAACGGTGAGGATGGGTGAAGAAAGGTGGAGGGAGGGGAAGAGGCAGGCGCAAGGACAGACCCAGCTTCAGATGGTCCTTCACCAGAATGTTGATGCCCGTCCAGAAGAACGCGCGGAAGCCCTGGGGGTTATGGATGAGTGGGGGAGGGGTGCAGTACGGTGGAGGGATGAAGAAGGGAGGGAAAGGGGCAGGAACAAAAGAAGCTTGGCCTGAGATGGGCCTTCACCAGAATGCTCATGGCCGCCCAGGAGGAAGGGATACAATGAGTGCAGGAGAGCGAAAAACGGTGAAGTGGTGAGACAAGTAAGAAGCCGCTTACAGGATGCCTCATATCCCGTCAAAATCCGTCAAAACCCCTCAGAAGCCAAAATCCGTCAAATAACATCAATTCCGTCAACTCGTCAGAATCTGTCAAAACCCGTCGGCAGCCATCTCGTAGCCCTTGTTGCAGTATATCACCTGTGCCCAGTAGATGCTGAAAACGAGGATGAGGAAAGGCGTGCCGAAGCAACGCCGCAACGAGTTGAGCCACGAGACGAGAAGCATGGTGGAGCACAGGCAATGAGTTGAGGAGCCACCAGTGGAGATGGACGGCTGAGATGCGCGCGATGGATGGCGAAGTTGTTCTAGTGGCTACGGAATTGTGGGCGAAGGGCTGACCGTCAATTGAGATGCTAAACGGTCAAGTCTGTTCACCGTGGGATGCCAAGCCAGGGCTCCTCATACACTCGCAGACTCAACTCCATCTGGCTTAGGCATCATTCACGCATCTATAATCAGGTTAGGGTTCTGACGATTAAGTAACTGCAGTCAGTCCGGTTACGATGCGTATTCAGCAGCTACAGCTATGTCATTGTCGTAAGGCCATCTGGTGCGATAGCCGAAACAACAAAATTTTCCAAATTCTGACCAGCGAACGACGGATGAGGGCGTACAGATCCTGCCAAAGTAATGGCTGGTTCCGGGTATTGTCAGGAAAAGAGAATTACACGGTTACAAGGTCATCAGATTGTAAGTAGACTTCATTTGATGATAAATCTCGGAGATGCCGAGATGGGCAAAACTAATGTTTCCTGCCGGGATGAAAGCTGGTTACAAAGGTGAGCAGGCAAAATACTAATGACTGGTAAAGACGTCGCTACACAGAGACGGCTGAGATCAAAGAGTGTGGGCCTCCTACAGAAGCTGGATTGAATCAGGAAAAGGGGAAAGTGGAGAAACTGAGGAACGGAGAACGTTAGTCATGAAGTTTTGAATCAGGAACAGGCATGAGACGAGGCGAAACGGGGATGGGTTGCTTGCGAGAATGTTGGTCTGGAAAAGCCTAGAGTATGGATCCATCGTCGCTTTAACTCTGATTGGATGGCGCCGCTTTTCCCATCTCGAAACCTCCGCGTTGAGAATTTAAAATGCTCTGATTGGGTCGTATCTGGTCGGTGAAGAACACTGTCGACAGTATTTGCGACAGCTTTCGCACTTGCGATGGCCGTCGCATGAACGAAGCTGACAGCAGACTCACTTTTGCTTCCCGCGCGTTTGCCGCAAAACACCGCCTTGGGGATTGGTCTGTCCAGTCTACGCGTTCCTTTCTCTTCAAATAAAGCGGTTTTGTTCGGTTGACAAGGTCCGCGACGGTGGAAAGCAGGAACTGTTTTCGAGGCTGGGCACAGATTATGATGAACCAGAGTTCATCTAAGGGCGTGTCCAGCTCGTTCATTTCGGGAAATCTAGTACCTCCTCACGATCCGGGGCTCAAAACTGAACACTGTACCTATAAACGAGAGTGCCTTGCTCGAGTCCACCCTTTCTGTCATTCTGGCGCGCGGACACCATCCCCCCACACAGACTTCAACAGTGCAGGGGCCGTGTGGCAACCAAGGTAAACAGTTCCCTCGTCAACCAAAGCATTAGAATTTTCGCCAGGCCAACACTTCCACTATAGGTTTTGGCGAGTGTCAGGCGGCACATGCAAAATCAAGCTCGCGATACGATGGGCACTCACTGTAGTGGGCAGGACGCGGCTCTGTACCATTGTTCGATGCGCACGCTGATTCCTGTAACGTGCGTCACACGATTCGAGGTACGTGCAGGGGGTGTGCCGTATCGTGAACGGGAGCTGATCGTGTCTGGCATTTTTGTAAAACTCAGTGTTACAACTCAAATTGTGGTAACTGAAGGGCTTTACGAACAGTAAATGAACGAGCTGGACACCCCCTAACACGGTTAAGTACGATGTTTTGCGCTGCATAGCGTTTTGTCCAACTCTCAACCACACCCACCAATCATGCAGGTCTCTCTTCCAATCATTGATGGCAGCATCCGGTCTGAAGCGGAGCATTTATGTCAAACGGAGCGTGATGTCTGCGTTCGCTATGTAGATACTTTTGAATCCGTGCGGTAGGTGATGCTGGCATGGAGTTCCTACGATCGCGATTGCGTCAGCGGAGGCTTCCGTGAACTCCTGCAGCTCGGCTTCGTGGAACCTGGATGAGAGGTGGGAGAAGGAAAGGGAGGTGAGGAGGAGAGGGGATGGAGGGGTGTAGAGTTGAAGACGGCAAAGAGTGTTCCTTCTATACCCGGGGGGGGGCACTGACGGGAGGATAGGACAAGAACGACACGAACCTGGGTGGGAGGTGAAGGGATGGAGGGGGGTTGAGGGTGGGGGGTGTGGGGGGGGAAAGGGGGATGGTCGGGAGGGGATGGATGATATGCTGACTTGAATAAGGTAAGCAATGTTTCCCGCACAGGCACGGGGCATAGGCAGGGGGCACAGGCAGGGGGTGTTTCCAGGGTTTTCCCCACTCTCCTTCCCCCAATGCCTCAAACACACACTCTTCCCTTTCTCTTCACTTAAAACTAGTTCACTGCATCCGAAACAGCAGCAGGGCCCATCAGGAACATGGTGTCGGGGATGCGGCTGAAACCCCCCATCTCCCACCTAAGCTCAAGAGTAGCTTGAATTATTTGACTTCAACTCTACTCACTTGAACTGGTCCACCGCATTAGAAACAACAGTAGACCCCAGCAGGAAGACAGTATCAGGGATGCGGAGCCTCAGGTTGAGGCGCGAGGTGAGGAGCGTGTCGAATAGTCACTCTACAATAGTCGTGAGCTAGATTACGGGGTGTTAGCACAAATTCTATGAGTGATCATAGCTTTGCGTAGTTCCTTAGCACTTGCACAGTCACGGGAGAAGATGGGCAAGAGTTTTCACTAGGCAAAGATTGCATTACAGAATGATTAAACAAGCAATAACAAGGATGACTACATAAGTCACCTAGCAACTCTGCAGCCAGCCTGATCAACCGCCAGCACAGCATGGTCGACCGCCTGCCAACGTTGCGTAAAGGAGTTGCGCCAGCACTGCAGAAAGGCGACCTGCCAACACAGCAAGTCGACGGCGTGCGAACGTTGTAGCTGAGCGGCTGTCCGGCGTTGCCCCGTAGAAGATGGCAGTGCGCACGTATGCAGGTCTGCGCAGACGATTGGCCCGACTTGCACTGTTGTGCATCTGTCGGCTGTGGTCTGCGCATGACGAGCCACATCGACTTCGGGATACCAGTCCGAAGTCGCTTTCGTCACCACGACCTCGACGACGTTTGCGTGCCTTAGCAGATTTCGCCGAGCAGTTTACCTGGTCGACCAAGTCGACCACCCTGTGCTCTGGTCGATGCCTCCCTCGTCGACCACAGCTCCCATCAAGGAACACCCAGGTCAACGGACCCCTCCATCGACCAGCACTGTCAGCTACTATCGCCGAGCTCCCCTCGTCGACTGCCGCTCACATCATAGGTCGACGGACTGCTCCGTTGACCTCCCCGTCGAACTGCTCCTGGTCGACAGTCCCGTCGATCGACACAATCAGCTGCACCCGTCGAGTTCCAGTCCTCGACAGTTGCCCGTTGATCACCCGTAGCCTGTTGAGCCGACCCTCCTGGTCGACGGCCCATCCGGAAACCAGCCCAGTCAACTGCAGCCGTAAAGCTTCCCTGGTCGACGGCTCTAGCCCCACGACAGTTCAGTGCAGGTCGACGACCACCACGTCGACCTCCTCTACAAAAGAAGGCCATCGAGCTCCCTGGTCGACGGCAACACCACAGTGAACTCCTGCAGCTCGACGAAGCTCGTCGAGCAGCTCCCTCACTGCGTATGGTCGACTGCTTCTCCGGTACATCCGACCAGGACGTCGGCATCGCCCAAGCGAGGGCGGGGCTAACACTCCATTCCCGTTAACACTCCCCTACCGCGCTCAGGCTTGGGCTCCCCAGCCCACACGGCAGTACTCTACAAAGAAAACTCGTCCTCGGCGTGCACCCCACACACAGCACGCCGAGCAGAAGGGCACGGCACCTACTGCTGCACATCGTCGTCGTGCTCGCTGACGTCGGCTAGACACACTCGGCCGATTGTGATGGAGCACCGGTGGAAGGCCGGAAAGTGCAGCGCCTTCGTCAGGATGTCGGCCAGCTGCTCGGTGGTCGGGATGTACTTCAGCACGAACTTCCCGCGCCTCACCATTTGCTGCAGCCACGCATAGCGTCGCTCCATGTGCTTGAGGTTGCCCGGCAGCCCCAAGCCCTCAGTGACAGTGATGGCCGGCTTGTTGACCACCTGAAGGACAGTCGGCTTCCCAACGTCGAGATGCAGATGTCAAACTCATATGCTATAGTCTGTGTAGGCTGTAGTGGGGTAGATAATATGGGGTACAACACTTCTAGGTTTTTCTTACTTGTACCCACGTGCTTGCTAGTTCATTCATTCCTCATTTCTTCACATGGTATAGAGCAGGTTCCCTAGTGGGAACGCTTCCTTGGGTCCACCACTGAAACTTTTTTTTCTGACCGGAGCGACAGTCGCTCCTGCCCGAGGTGCGCCTTGTGGGCTGCCCTTCTGTCGACCTCTCTTAGAGGCCCCTCTCACGGCCCCTCGCGCCACCCTCAGCGGCCTCGACGCCGCCTCTAGCGGCCCAGTAGCCGCCCTTCCAGGCCCCTTGCCGCCCCTAGCGGCCCTGTCGCCGCCCCTAGCGGCCCCGTTGCCGCCTCCCTACCTACGCGGCCCCGCTGCCGCCCCTACGCGGCCTCGTAGCCGCCCCTAGCGGCCCCGTAGCCGCCCCTACGCGGCCCCGTCGCCGCCCCTAGCGGCCCCGTAGCCGCTACCCTCCCCCTAGCGGCCCCGTAGCCGCCCCTAGCGGCCCCGTCGCCGCCCCTAGCGGCCCCGTCGCCGCTATCCTCCCTACGTGGCCCCGTTGCCGCCCCTATGCGGCCCCGTCGCCGCCCCTAGCGGCCCCGTGGCCGCTGACCTCCCTACGCGGCCCCATTGCCGCCCCTACGCGGCCTCGTCGCCGCCCCTACGCAGCCCCGTCGCCGCTCCTAGCGGCCCCGTCGCCGCTCCCCTCCCTACGCGGCCCCGTCGCCGCCCCTACGCGGCCTCGTCGCCGCCCCTACGCGGCCACGTCGCCGCCCCTAGCGGCCCCGTCGCCGCTCCCCTCCCTACGCGGCCCCGTCGCCGCCCCTAGCGGCCCCGTCGCCGCCCCTTCCCAGCCCCGTCGCCGCCCCTAGCGGGCAGCCGAGCCGCCGAGCCGCCCAGCAGCAGCAACCGCCCCTGGAGCACCCGCCACAGCAGCAGCCGCCCCTGGAGCAGCCGCCACTGCAGCAACCGCCCCTGGAACAGCCGCCACTGCAGCAGCCGCCCCTGGAGCAGCCGCCACTGCAGCAGCCGCCCCTGGAGCAGCCGCCACTGCAGCAGCCGCCCCTGGAGCAGCCGCCACTGC